TAAATAATTCTTTGTTTATGAACTTACTTGTAAATATTTAAAAATTTTGGGATTAAACTGTAAAAAATCAAAACAAAACATTGAACAAGCTGGATTTGTTCTCCTTTTAACGGCAGATTACTGTATAGAGATACAGAGAAATGACCCTTTCACATGCCTCTTCTCACCTCTTTTCTTTGAGGATGATATTTCTATCATACTGGCTAACAACCACTCCTCCACTTGGGGAAAATATCTAAAGCCAATTTAGCTGTGTTTACAAGTTCCACAGCTATGGCATTCTTTTTGAGTTAATTTCCACAGGCACCAGCTGTTAATAATTAAACAACCAAACTGATTGCTCCTGGCTGAGCAATTAATTCATACCAGGTAAGTTAATTGATGACTGAGTTCATACAAGATGAAATCCAAAGAAAACATGTATTTAACCGCTACTCACAAGCAAACAAATGAAGGATAATTGAACAGAATAAAAGGAAACAATAGAAATAGTCAAACAACTAATGAAGAATTATACATTCATAAAACAGTTTAGTATTGCAAATTGTCGGATCCTTTTGGTTATCTTTGTATATATTTTGGCTTTACTTATAGCTTGGAGTATATCCCCAGTTTGTCCAAGATGCCGGTGAGCCTCCATGGAATAAAATTTCAGCAAACAACACATACAAGAGGGTCCCTACCCTCTCTGACTTCCAAACATTTACAAAGACATGTTTTTGGAACCAGTAGACCTGAACAATAGATTATTTTCATAATGTTAGGGGGGTTTCAAGAAGTTGATAGCTATTGAATCAATCAATGTTAACAAACTAAGCCACGAGCAATATGACATTACTTACAAGGGTGTTGTTAGGGGACTCATAATACCGTCCATTTACAAATGCTGGAAGAATGCCTTGGGCCCCTAGCACAAATATCAGCGTTGCATTCATTCCTATCCATTCCAGGAACAGAAATGGCATCCGAAATCCCCAAACATCAATCTGTTCATTTATCCAAAGCATAAAAGAGAATATCTCTTTTGTTCAATGCTATTATCTAGGGAATCATAACTAGTTTTTAGAAGTTATATACCAGTATATAGAACCCAGAGAATACAATTCCTGCTGCACCGGCTGTGAAACACACATAGCTGAAACTGTAAAGCTGTTTGTTGAGGGGAATTGCTGCATTGATCCAAAAGCAAATTAGTTGTCAAGAATAGTAACATTTCAAAAAGGATTCATACACATTGTAGTAATCTTACCATCTGTAAAATGAAGAATGATGGCTATGATAAGCAAGCCAAACCCCATTGAGACCCATTGCTTCAGCCTCTCAAAGTGAACCTATAAAAGGCAATTTTCATCTATAAAGCCCCCATTAATGAGGTGAGTTATATGTGTAATTATAGCTCCTTTTAGATTTGGGTACAGAAGTTTCTGACCTTGAAATGGATTAAAGCGTGTCCATGGTGGATGCCAATGGTGCAAGAAAGGATAGCCGAAATTGAACTGAGAAAGAACAACAGCCATTTTAAATCCATGTATGTTGCTGAGAGAGATTTTATTTATTTTGAATTTTGAAAGACCAACAAACCTTAACAACCCTTCTGGTTCAAAAGGACAAAGGCACCAGCTTGGAGCATTTGGAAGGAAAGGACCTGAAGTTGGAGAACTAAGAGTGCAAGCCTACAATCTCACAATAAAAATGTCATTAACATCATGCTAATCTTATTTAAACATTTAATTGGGGTCAGGACTAACCTTCAGCCGTTGCCAGACAGGGCTTTTGTAGAGATGATTGACTCCCCAAACTGCTCTATCCACATAGCCAACAGCATTGCAAGCAGGACCAAAGTGTCCTCTCATCCCACATTTGACCTTAAATTTGCCAGAGAAAAATCATCAGTCATTAGGTATGCAACTTCAAAAGCAACAGAAATCTGAAAAAAAAAAGAAAAAAGAAAAAAAGAGAGTCATTATAATATAGGGTGCATCTCCTAGACCCCAGATCACCATGCACAACAAAACTCCAATCGGGGACGTATAGTGAAAATACTGTGATCATATATATCAGGAAAACAATGAACCCTCCAAGACTGGATTGGGATCATCAGAATATAAATGGACAAACAGAGAAAAAGGAAAAAGGAAAGCAGGAGACAAGATCAGGGTTGTTTACCATTGCCATTTATATGCTGTGAAAATTGAGAAATGTCCAGGCTGCAGGACAGTTGGTCTAAGCTTGGTGGTGAGAGTCTCTATCAGGGCTACAACAAAGTATAGCAATGCTATTCTCTGTTTACAGAGGAAAACATTGGTCATTAGCTCAACGATCAGAAATTCGTAATGCAGAATCAAAAGTTCAGAAAAAAAAGAGGCAATTAAGGTTAAGAATAGACCTGAAGGATGCCACACCAGCGGATATGCTTCATGTCTACACCATAGGAGAGGTCATCAGGTGCATGTGAGTATCCTCCTGTAGTGTGTCACACAAAAAACTGTTTTAAGTACATGTCACTTAATTTTACCTAATGTAATTGCAAACTGCCTAAAGGGTTACTAATGGATTAGAACTTGAAACTCTAATAATATGTTTGGAATGAGGGCAGGGGAGGGGAGGAGAAAAAAATTATTTATTTGGTTATCAAAAAAATTTGAGGGGAGGGGATGGAAAAAATTCCCTTTATTTTTTCTTTCAATTTGGTTATTTATCTAAATGAGGAGAAGGGAAGGGAGAAGTTTTCTCTCTATTTCTCTTCATTCTCCTCCTAAACATAGAGTAAGTTAGAGATCTCAAACTTGAACAAGTTTGGAAGAATTTGAAAGAGAACTATCCCTATTGTATTATCCTTAAGTGCGCAGAAAAAATTTGGAATTGAAAATCTTGTACATTAAATACTAAGAACAATATTAAAAAGGATAAATTTTGAAATAAATTAAAGTTTAAACAAGGTAGTGAATTTACCTTGTAACAAAATTCCCCAAAATAAAAGCTTCAATATCCTTAAGGTTATCTTCTTAATTGCATCCTTGATCTTTGTGAATCCTCCGCGGGGTGAAATTGATCAAGTATATGAGGACAACGGCAATTTGTGTTGTAGAAGAAGAAAGTAATAATCAATAGATTTCACCAAAAATGCCAAGTTTAATTCAACTAATTATTATGCAGATTCTTTAAATCTTAATAAGAAATTGTACCATCCATAGTTTAGATATAACAATATCAAAACTATAATTAAAAGTACATGAGGTCATTACATTAGTGGTGCAATATATTTTTAGAAGGGAAAAATGAAATCTTGATTAAGAAATGGACCAAAATGGTATGAACTAAATAAAAAATTTAAGGATAAAAATGATAAAAATAAATTCTAATGAATCTAATTGATTATTTTTCAAAAGTATAGGGGTTACAGGCCCCCTAGCCCCGCCCCTAGGCCATTAGAGCAAGAGATTCTATTTTATCTTGATGATATCAGTTAAGAAAATGATACCTTAGAAATATTTGCATATCATGTAGAAGGTTTCATTTAAACTATAAATCTAAAATGATATTTGTATGAAATAAAAGATTTTTAAAATGTCATTTTTCTATTAGTTGAGATATTGTATAGTTTTATTATATAATAACAAAATTTCTTAAAGTAAGAACGCAATTCTTGTTAGACAAATACTAGAATATTTCATTACTCCCTCAACCTTCTTATTAAACCTTCCAAATATCATATACAAAGAAGGAAAATAAGATTCAAGGTTAAAGATTGAACCTTGAGAGCAAGAGCAATTGCAACACCAACAATGAAGAGAAAAAATGGCATGACGAATCGGCCAACATGCACCCATTCCAGGGGGAGTGATCAATGTGCGGACAAGCACTTCCAGCATCATCTACCAAAATCATAAGCTACATCCCCAGCACAAATTTTAACATTAATTTTTAACACATGGTATACTGTTATCATGTTATATATATAACTTGAAAGTATCTATAAAGATCGATTTTGTTCTGTGCTAGAGGGAAGAGTAATCAAGAATATTGAAGTTTCAAAATTGGAATCCATTAATTGAAAACATAAAGAAAATGATCTACAACATTATTTAAGTGAGTTTTCATGTACTATATAAAAAAAATCAGAAAAGTTGTTTTTAATATAAATGACAAAAAATTATAATCTAAATATTAAAATTATTAAAATGATTTTAATAAAAAAAATTAAAATTTTTGAATGAAAAAAAAAATCAATATTAAGGATTTATTTTCAATTTAAAAGTAATTATTTTGTAATTTAATATAATTTAAATAGTAAAAAAGTTTGTCAATAACTAATTAACTAATTAAAACATTAAATTAGAGAAAATTTTAGTAAAAATAGGGATGATTAAGTGAGAGAAAGGGAGGGTTAAACTAACTTTGCAAAAGAAGGTGTGAAAGGGAAGTAAACGAAAACGAAGGTTAGAATTAGAAATGAAAAAGTAGACTTTCCTCGAAGGTTCTGTTGTTGGGGGAGTGGTCACGTGAGGGTGGAACCATCAAGAAATTATAACACGTGATGGCGGCTGACACGATTTCGGCGTCGCCGTCGGGTGACGGCACTGTGTCACTGAGTCACTGGGGTTAGTCACCGGTGGTGGGTGGGCAGAGCCAAAATCTCGTTTTTTATTTTTTATTTTTTAATTTTATCGCCATAAGAATAATAGATTGTTTGTTCTGTTTCGGCATATTCGTAAATGGGATACGAAAGATTGATTTTTTTTTTTTTTGGAATGACGAAGGGTTGTTGCCTCGTGCTTTTTTTGGGATTTAAAGAATGTCCAATAATTTTGGACTTGGTCAGTGCCACGTAATATTGTGTGTATTTTTAGATAAAGGGTCTCTTAAATGTTCTAGGAAAAAATGAGTGGGATTTGAAAAGAAGAAGGATGACAAAAAAAAAAAATAATAATTTATGTTTTTAAAATATAAGTTAAGGGTGTT